CAGGGATCTATAGATCGACAGCAAAGAATAGTATTTTGGTCGTTATTAATTCATTAAGAAGACAATGCAATGGAATGCAAAATTTCTGGAAATTGAACTTTTTTAGTATATAAAGAATAAGGTTAGAAAATGATGAGAAAAAAATGTGATTTAAGCATTTGTTTCACTGCACATAAACTCAACATCAGCTTTGTGATTTGGACACAATTTTTGTAATTTGGTTATTTTTATTTGGTTCTTTTTATGTGCAGAATTGAATGAATGTATGCCCCTAAAATTATAAATTTTTTTTTACATATTGAAAATAGATGGAACAACCTAAAAATATCAGGCTGGTGCAGAGAAACAAAAAAAAAAGGTGCTGGAACAGGTTGACAGTGGTTTATTTTTGGTCTGCGACTATTTTCAGTGTTCACATTCAAAAACATATTGGGTTTGTTGGAGTCAGCAGGAACAGGGGGCTCCTGACACAAAATGATTTGTACCTGCAGCGCTCTGAATTTTTAATGAGCACCGTAATGAGCTGATTGCCGCGTCGAGTCTTCCTGTGCACTAATGAACGTGCGTTGTGACAAATCAGTTTCCCTGCTGGGTTTAAACAAAGTTAATCTAATCAAAAATTAATATATTAATTAACCGCGTTCTCCATAAATTTGTGGGAACAAGAAGTTTAAAAGGATCAGATGTTAAAGGAAGGCAAATTATGAAACCTCTGTTTACAGTGGTTTGTCTTTGGTCAAAACTGTTTTGATAAAGTCATATCTTTTTTTTTTATTGAACATTTTTGAGTGTGAGTTTTACAATATTGTTTCCTGTCATGAAAGGTGAAACCTTTACCTGACTAGACTAACTATTGTAACTAGAGTAACCAGTTACTAGACTTGACTGATTTCACAATATCGCCCAATTTTCATCTGTTGTTTCAAAACAAGCCCTGTAGGTGGCAGTAGAAGGAAAGTGAATTGCTCTTTAAACTCAAAAATTGGATGGTGACCTCACTACAGAGGAGACACACTTTCCCTAAATGATACATATATAAATACATTTATTTTTTATAAACTAATTTGAGAAAATTAAGAAAAATTTATGTTTAAGAAAAAAATAAATATATTCATACACACTCACAATGTGTGAAGGAAACAAAGACACACTACTGTGTGTGCAAACAGAGATGGAGCTGAATGAGGTGGAGTCTGTGTCAGCAGAAGCAGCTGCAGCCAGAGTGAAGAACTTTTCACATCTGCTTAGTCAGCTCTTTGACGAACAAAACAAAAAAAAATGAG